AAATTTGGTCTTTTTTTGTTTGCCTATAATCGCAAAGATTCAATACAACTTTTACACACCAAAATTGGTATCAAAGGTTTAGCGTTTGATGGCAACGGAAACCCAAAGTAAAGTATGCCTTTTTTACAAAGTCTGACACACTTAAACGACATTTTTGGAACATATATTATCCGCAAATAGCACAAAAATACTCAGGATTATTAAAACATGTCCTTCTTGAGGAAGACATAATGAAATTTATAAAGGGACTAGTTAAGTTACACCGCTATTGGTAGAAACTATTGACAATTTGTGTAAATTCAAGACGGACCTGTATCTGACTAACTAGAGCTGCTACAAAAAATCTGAGGTCAGATTTAAAATCAGCGCACCGAAATTAGTAAACAACAGTAGAAAAACTTCATGCAACAAAAAAAAAGTTTGATTTTGTTGTGCTGTGTTATTTATAGGAAAATAATTTTAAATATTTAATTAAGCTTTAAGTATTAAAAACGGTTATAATCATTTTTTTGTATAAATTTAGGTATGTCCAATGGGACATGGACTTTTACGAACTCATTTTCTAACTTTCTACTAAGAAACTGAACTGAGAACTAGACCTGAAACTGAGTAATCTATTGTTTTAAAACGAAAATAATTTTCTTTAATCATTAATTTGTATGCATCATTTCATCCAAAATGTAAAGCTGTTTGGATTTTATTCTATAAGCATAAAAGGGGAAAGAGAAAAAAATCTGACGTTATTCGATATGTAATTAATTTTATTTCAAAAATCATTGGTAATAACTATATTAAGGTACATTAACTATAAATTCAAGTCAGAATACGTGAATTCTAAACATATTACATAATGTGTCACCCAGGTGATGGTAGCAGCGCTTCACGCCCAAGTGGTGAAGGGTGACTGTCTGGGCGGCGGTGAGGAGTGTGCAGCAGCAGCAGGCGCAGTGCTGCCTCCCCGCCTGGCCGCGCCCGCCCTGCCCGCGCCCGCCCTCCGCCTGCATCACCTCGCACTACGAGGCACAGAGCCTCACGCGGCCATGCAACGAGCACTCACACTCGCATCTTCATGGCCACTCACACGAGCCACGATCTTTGATGTCATGGTAACAGAAAATATTAATATTATATAATGTACTAGCTTTCCCCCCGCAGCTTCGACCGCGTGGAGTTCGGTTATATCGCGTTGCCAAGAGAACTTTTCAAAAGTCTGCAATAAAAACTATCCTATATTATTTCTCAAGGTCGACTCTATCTCTGTACCAAATTTCATTATAATCAGTTCAGTGGTTTAGGCATGAAAGCGTAACAAACAGACAGACAGACAGAGTTACTTTCGCATTTATAATACTAGTAAGAATAGAATTTTGGACATTTATATGCTATCGGACGATCAAATATAATAAAGTTGCAAAGCACCGTTTGTTATCCAAAACGAGGTTATATTAGAAACTAGCGATTAGATTCTTATATTAGTTACAGCAACACCGATTATTAGATAGAAGTATTGCTTAGTCAGCATTCAGTCCATGCCAATGATGTATAAAATAACTTTAAAAATTTAGAACCTAATGAGATCTAAGATTTTCGCGAGTACTCATTTAAATGAAACTCTATTACTCTATTAACACTCACATCTCGTCTGCCCGTGATCACGGTTGCTGAAAAGTAGCCGAAACGTCGGGAGTATGTAGTTTTTAATCAAAAATAAAAAAACGCGAAGTAAAATCCGAAAATATTAGTTTCATTTTAATTAAGAACTTATAATCATAAGGACCGTGTATCTAAATATTTCTTCATAATGAGTCTTTATTACAGCAATCGTTCACGTCCAACTGGCCGCGTGCGTTATGGCTGGCGGTGGACGCCCGCGGGTTGACTCTGCTCCGTCGAGGCGCGCGGGCGGCGCTGGTGTCTCACGACCACTCACAGCTGCTGGCCGTGTCTCCCGCGCCGAGGGCCCTGCTGCTGGTCACTAGGGCTGACAGGAAACACGCCAAGCTGGTGCTGTCTACGGATCAGGTGACCAAAATATAACTTAACTAGTTACCCCCCGCGAATTTCCGGCATGTAAAGTAGCCTGGACGTCAGCTTCCTGTATACAAAATTATATCAAAATCGATTACCTTATAGTTATACCGATATACTCTTTGTACTGATAAGAGACGATAAGATGAACTGATAAAAAATGAAGGATATATGTTAACATGTCTGGTGTGGACGTGTCTTGTCATGAGATTTAAAGTTTTATATAAAAATAGCGGTGGGATCTATTGATTGTTTTATAAGATGGGTCCCGATTGTGCTCCTGATAACTGATGGAGGAATATTGAGAAGAAATATATAATAAATATTATATATCATTCCACATGCAATTGGTTTGATGTACATTTTTTGATGTACGAATTCTGTTAGCTTTGCAACTCTGAGTATTACTGTGAGGTGCGCATGATGATGCTTGAGGATTAATTCTTCTGACTTTCATATTCAATCCAATAGTTTATCAATCTCAAAATATTACACTACTAGTTTCAAAATATTGATTTAAGTTACTTATTCTATTGGAATTTTAAAAATGATCATTGGATATAAGTATGGTCAGTCGGCAAGACTCCAGCGAATGATGATGTTGAGAAATTGAATAGTAACTGTTTAAAAATAAGAATGCTCAATAAAATAAACTTTTATGTCCGATATGATATTCAATTTAAAACTTGAGACCACAGACAATATTCCAGCGAACTTTTACTAAATAATAATTTAAAAAATATTTCAATAATTTTTTTCATGCTAGTCCAGTCATGTTTTCTTGTACTTAACCAACCTTAATACCTTACATATAATATTATTATTGTATACACAGGCGTACCAGATCGCCACTCTGATCAAGGACTACATAGAGGCGGTCCGTGGCCCCGTGTGCCCGGCGGTGGCCGCGCCCCCAGCAGCCTCCTGACACCCGCCCGCCTAGTGCCAGTGCTTCCACGTCGCTCACTAGACGGACCAGCGGACATAAGGACAGACAGACAACGACGGGTCATGTAACTAGTGTCGGTGAACATCGATAAAGGAAGGATAGGAGTAAATGTTGATATGAAACGTATGAAGCAGATTCACCAGCCGCGAATCGTTTGAGATTCGACTGAAAATTACAAAAGCCATCATTATGGCCATCTATGTTTCACTAATACAGTTAGTGATGAGTACGATCTAAGTCTATGTGATTTAGATCGCTCCGTTGGTGAAATCTGCCTTCAAATCCTTTTGGTAGTTAGCTAATATAAAATCCGATCATACATTTACTTCAAGGAATGCCAGTGTCGGTCAGGAGTGTTAGGATGGACGATATACAGTTGTTGGAAGACGGGGAAGCAAACTATAGCAACATTAAATTACCATAGTTCAACAGTTTTAATCCATAGAAAAGTAAACTATATTCCCTTCTATAGTAACTGGGCTTGTACATCACTATACCGTATAGTTCAATAGCCCTGTATGTCTAAATGTTTAGTAGGTACTCAAAATTATTAAAGTGTAAAATTCTAGCGTCAGTTGGTGTTACAAGCTCATGTTGGCAGTATTATAATTAATATAAATCGTGTTACTTAAAATTCATCAGTTTAGTACTAAATGTTAAAAATTGTTAAGATATATGCTATATATAGTGGTTGTAATTCAATCTTATCTCCCCTCTCACATAGTAGTAAATCTTGAAGGTGTATGATTAAAGACTATTGTTCTTATCAAAATAAATTTAAATATCCGTTAATGTAGATAGATTAAGTCCTACCCCTGATCCCGATAGTTAGATGAAATGTTTCATAGTCTATACCTATATGTTACTATGTCATATCAAACCTTAATGGATTCCTAATAATTCCTTCGCTTCTTCCTGTACTGTTGAGTACGTAGCAGAGTATATAGTTGTTTTGAAATGTTTGCGGTTTGATGTTTATCCTAAAGTCTTGTGTTGTGCCTTGTCGAGCGAATATCCACATGATATTGAACTGAGCCTTTTATAATTTGACATGAAATTATATCAATTTAATCATTATATCTTCTATTCTTGGCAAATAATCCACAAATTCAGTGTGAATGAAGCCATAGAGTGAAGAAAAGAACAAAAATCTTAATTATTTTCAATTAATATAACTTAGATAACCCAAATAAGGCGAGTTCGTAATGTTTCATGTGCAAAAATTTATTATTGTGACTAAAATGACTGTTCCAAATATATCTATCATGCATATTATGTTATTGCACAATGTTATGTCTCAATATTTTATAATGGATATATATACTATGTAGATTTTACTGTGGTAAAGCGTTTATGCTTAGTTATGCTATTATAATATTAATTCTATGTGAGCATAGATATCTCTAAAGTTTAGGCCTATTTGGTGCTTAAATAATATTTTTAGTTTGTGTTTCTGATCTCATATTGAGTATTATTTATTTAGATGCCATATTTCGTTTAGTGTGAGCAATATGTTTAGGTTTTAACTTATTATTTAATAACATTTGTATATAATTGACAAACCAAAGACCCAATCATCCCTTTGGATAGTTTTATTTGACAAATTTGGCATTAAATGAATCAAGTTATTTTACATTTGTATATATATTTAGGTTAAATTATGTTTAAATTCAAGAATAATATCGAGCTCACTTCAAACAATCCTGATAATTTTATAAGTACATGATGTACATAATTTTTTATTTTATTTTTTAAACAACCTCAATAATAAACTGCCAATATCTTTGATACTGCACTATATTTGTAAGACTAACTAGGTTTTATGTTAGATGTAAGGTGAAATGATTATTGTATGAGCACAGTCAACAAGTCACACACAAACTGCCCTAGAGACTGAGGTGTCCAAATATTTTGTCCTTTTTTGATGATTGTTTTTGTTACATGCATATTTTACACTATTATTTGAATGCCAAATAAAGATAATACAAAATTTTCAACTGTTTTATTCTTAAAATATTTTATTTCATTGTGTTACTAATCCTAAGTAGTCGTCCATTAGTGTTCCGATGGCAAACTGGAAAAAAAAAACAGATTTTTTATTGAAATACTAGCTGACCCGGCGAACTTAGTACCGCCCTATAATCAAGAAATATCTGTTACCTTTTATCTGAATGAAATTAATTTCTTTATTAAGTATAACTGACCCGACAAACAATATTCTGTCTTCTTAACTGTGATCATTGAATTCTAATTGGTATATTAACAAATCAAAATTACTACAAAAACAAAACTACGTAAATATTACCGCGAGTAACACATTATTTTAATAAAAAGTTTATTTTTCTAGTAATTTTCCTAATTTTTTCTTACATAAGAACCTTCTCCTAATAATAATAAAAGCAACAAAAAAAAATTAGTGAAGTCGGTCCAGCCATTCACGCATGATTATGTGACCAAGAGAAAAAGGGATTCATTTTTATATATTATATAGATTAAATAATATACAGATACTTACAATGCCCGTGGCATCAACTCTAGTACCAACAATTTTTAATCTAATGACATCCTCTTCTTGTATGACATTGTCTTCCTGTTTACTCTTATAGCACGGGGGATTCACATTCGGACAGAACTCCATATCAGTTGGTATTGACTGAAATTATTAAATTATATATTGAAAATATATTCATCAAAATTTCCACTACTTCATATAAAAAATATATCTTGAGGAGGTTAATAAATATTTTGAAGTTATCTTGCAAATTAATATTGTTATACCCATATTGAGTCAATATTTTCATTAAATGTAATTAATTTAATAATGGTTTATGTATATATGATACTTACATGATGTGATATAAAACAACTCAATGGACCGATTTGAGCAAACATTCCAACCTGTTGACAAAAATATGCATTGGTTTTAATTAATATTAATAATAACATTTGAATAAAACTAATAATTTGGGACATATGATAGTACATTTTTCATTGTTTTAAGACATTTTCGTCCCAGTTGCTGCTAAGTAATCTAAAGGTGGGGAGTTATAAAAAATGTGTAGTACATACAAAAATATTAGTTTTAATTAAATGAATGCTCACAAAAATCAGATTAATAATATCTAAATAACTAATGTATATGTATGTAAAAATCTAAATAAGTAATGTATAGTCTAAACCTGACTAAACCTGAACTTTGCATTTGTGTGAGTGAAAGTAAAAATAGAGTTAAACAAAAAACTTTTAGAACTCTATTTTATAAGGTATGTTTTAAATAGATAAGAAGTATGAGAGCTATTCTAGATACAAAATAAAATAAGCAAAAATTGTAAAAGGCCAGATATAAATATTATGAATATTTAAAAAAAAAATAATTGAATAACTATACAAAATCATCTTCACTTAACATTGTGTTTTCAACATTTTCATCAAGATGTTCGTCTTCATTATTGACATCTGATGTGTTGTTTATGTTAATAAAAAATTGTACTGTTATATCATCAAAAGCAGAATCATGACCAAGAAACTTTTTGCATGGTCACATACATTTTTCCATTCATGAATAGACATAGTATCTACTTTTTCACAGTATTAATTAATGTGATTCTGCTAACAGTACAAAGGGTGAAGCGTGGAAGGTGCGGGGCGGAGTAAAACTCTTATAAACTGGTTAAAACCTAGAAAAGCATGTGGCAGACACAAATTTGACATCACACCTACACTACCCATGTGCACTAACACAAATGCAAAGCTCAGCTTAAACCAAACGCACTATAACAGTGTGCCTGGTACTTCCTCACATATGAATTCCATAATATATCAAACATTCATGTTATAGATATGTATATAATTTATTGAGAGCTGAATTCAACTAAAATAAAACTATATAATAATTGATAATACTTAGTAAAAATACATAAAAATATACACTAATTGGAGCACAGTATTTAAAATGAATTATTTTTTAATATTATGTAAAAATTAAAATGCCAAATAGGTATCGGAACACATCACAGAGAGTATATTTTTTGTTACAAACCTTATTCACTTGAGTGACTATAGCATCAAGGACCTCTCCTTTAAATGGTCTGAAAACTATTGCTTTATATTTAACTGGATACACAACGAATCCTTGTCCTGGCTGGATGAGACCTGCGCCTATGCTATCTATTGTAGTCACTGCTATAACAAAACCATATCTGAAACAATACTTTATTTATTTAAATCTTGTGATATTACGATCGCAATTTATTTGATGGGATTTATACATACTTGCCAGTACAAGTACCTTCCACCTCTGTATACAACTTCTGTTTAACAGTATCTAATAGTTGCGGTCCAAAATATCTTGGATGCAGCAATATTTCATGCTCCAACGATATCTGTAAAATTAATAATTTCATTAACATTTGAAGTAGTTAGAAAGTTATAATAAAATTGACTTACGTGGTAGAACATTGTATAATTCAAAACGTTTAGTTCATCATTATATATTTTATAGTTCTTCAAAACTTTTAGTTCCAACTTAATAAATACCGCTAAATAGTAACTCGTCACATTTGACGTTTAGCATAGAGATTATAGACAACATAGAATATTGAAAACTTATTGCATAAACCAAAGACATTTCACTGAGGCAACACTAAAAAAAGCAACATTATAATTATTGGGAAAACAGAAATATCACAATATATTTCAATTGGCAAATTCCCTTGTATACATTTTGCTAAAGTGTTTAAACAATTATTATATAATTAAGAGTAATATCAAGATAAATTACAATTAAATATCAGACTTGCCATACTTGAAACGACAGCTTATTAAAAGTACGTAGACAATTTTATATTTGTATTGTACATCACTAGCGATTACTCAAAAATGCCAAATGAGTGACTGGCTGTGTATCCTGTAATCAGTTGATATAAAAAAATGGCAAAAACTTACGACTATTTATTTAAATTACTTCTTATAGGTGATTCCGGAGTGGGAAAAACATCTATATTATTTAGATTCTCTGAGGATGCTTTTAATATCTCATTTATATCAACCATTGGTAAGTACTTGAAGTCTTTGTATCAAAGGTTATTGTCAGAAATGTTGTATTTTTTTATACGTAATTGTCATTGAACAGGATTTTTTTGGTGACCAGAATATGTTTTCGTACACATTAAGTTAAAAAAGGGTGCGGCTCTTTGATAAATAGAGCCCTTATCAAATTAAACGAACGAATTGTTTATGACATCATACACACTAATTTTAATTAATAGAGTTCAACAGCAACTAACTTTTTCAGGTATTGACTTCAAAATTCGTACAATAGATTTGGACGGCAAAAAAGTTAAATTACAAATATGGTTGGTATTCATTATGATTTGATTCATTAATACATTATAATACAATGGACCTCTATACTAAAACATTTTCCTAGGGATACGGCGGGTCAGGAAAGATTCCGTACGATTACAACGGCTTATTACCGTGGTTCTATGGGCATTATGCTAGTTTATGATGTTACAAATGAGAAGAGCTTTGAAAATATTAAGAATTGGATTAGGAACATTGAAGAGAATGCAAGTGCGGATGTTGAAAAAATGATTCTCGGCAATAAATGTGATTTGGATGCAAAGAGACAGGTAATGATAAATATAACTTACAGAATTATAAAATATATTTAATTTGAGTTATAAATGTCAACAATTGGTGTTTTTAAGACAATACAATTTCATACTTATATAGTTTTCCTGTTTCTCTAAATAAACGCGAAACAAATTCTATTGTTTACAACAAACAATGGAATAATAGTGTCAATTATTAGTCAATTTAAAATAGAGAAATAAAAAAAAGTAAAATTTACCACTCAGTTTTAAGCACTTTATTTAATACTTTTGGATCTTAAGATAATTTATGATTTACACAATGAATTGATAGTAAAAACTAACTAATTTTCTAGGTTTCTAAGGAAAGAGGAGAACAATTAGCTGTAGAATATCAGATCAAATTTGTAGAAACATCAGCAAAAGATTCTTTAAATGTCGAATATGCTTTCTATACATTAGCGAGAGATATCAAAGCAAAAATGGAGAAAAAGCAGGTAAAAATCATACTACTCATCTTTACTACACTCAATTTATTAAAAAATTACATTTCCTTTATACACAAAGTTTAAAAACATGTTATTAGTGTTTACATATGGAGTAAATATGTATCTTTTGATCTTAACATCTTTATTTAAGATTTCTTTATATTTGAAAACCACAAAGATATATTATATATAAAATTATTATAAAGGAATATACATTAATTAATTTATCTCTTTTGTTCCATGACTATCTTGAATTCAGAAGGTAAAGGCTTTTGTGCTGTGTATAAATGTTTGTTTTATGAAATTTAGCTTTAGTTGTCGTCAGTTGTGTTGTCTTTGCATTATTCATTTTTATTGCCATTAGTTTATAACCATATACTCCTTGAATTCCCATTAGTTATAATTACCCAATTAGAATACTATTTCCATTATATTTTATTATGGAAATAGTCATATTTTTTTGGATTTATCAATAAATTGCATGCTTGTATTAATAGAATTCTTTTTAGTATTTTTCATATTTGTGCAATTATGTTTTTGACAATATAATGATGAGATATTTAAATAAAAATTTAAATTAGAAAATATAGAAAAATGTATAAAGATATGCTAGATTTGAATGTGCATCCCCAGAATATTGCATTTCATTTGATTTACCGATTATTATGTCATATTAACAGTACAATAAATTCCAAAAGATCCCCTTCCATTGTCGATGTCTCATTAAGCAAGTTAATTTTATCTCAACAAACAGGATGTAATCGTAATCTCTGGGTTTTCATGTTCAATTAGTCTTGTTTATTATAAATAGCTATGATACCAATGACAAATTCTAAAATATATATTCCATTAATGTATTTGTTTTAAAGTTATGCTGTATTTTGTGTTGAATGGCATGCCTTTGGTGTTGTAAAACATATTCGTCAGGGATAGTTCAAATCCGCGTAACTACTATTAGATGATTCCGCGTATATACTTACGAAGCAGACTGTCAGAAGAAAGTTTAAGCTGAAATATTTTTTAATTAACGATTGTTTATGTAATTTTCTCACAATTATTCATAAATTAAACAATTAATATTGGTGAAAAAATTACATTAAAAATCGCTAATTAATTAAACTAAAATCTGCTTAAACCTTCTTCTGATACTCTGCTTCCTTTGCAGATACGCGGAATTATCCAATTGGCGGATTTGCACAATCCGCCACATTATGTATTATTATTCTATATGTATTTAATGTATTGTAGGAGGCGAGTAACCCTGCGGGTGCTCGTTCAGGGACCCACCAGCTTCGTGATGAGCGACCCAAGCCCACATCCTGGCTGGCTCGTTGCTCTGTGCTCTGACGTCACAACCTGCCCCCTCATCTCAGCAAGGGCCCCCACGACCCACTACTATATTTTTCGACCTACACTTTTTTCTGGTGCAAATCCACACAGCAATCGGACTTGCTTTTTGTATTTTTATAAACGATTATTTCTCTTAAGGTGTTAATTATAGATGGCAATATTAATTTGATTAAATTTTAGGGATTTATATCGGCATTAACTCATCTATTGGTGATGAAATGTGACTGTTCATATCTGGAATGTTTAATGTGACCTTACTTGAGCTTTTAAATCAGTATTTTTTTTATTTCTGTGGTCAGTCCTTTTGTAAAGTACATTATTATAATTATTTAATTAAATTTCTTATTAGGGCGAAATTATGTGGTATTATGATTTAATGCAAATGGTTTAAAAGATATTATTTCAATAGATTGATAGCTGTATTTTTCTTTTGCTACTTTAATTAAGATATATATTTTAATGTAATATATACTACATATTTAATTTGAATAAACAGTGCTTTTTTTAAACAATTTGTTTTCTTTAATAAAAAATCTATGATCCATATTAAATCATCTTTATTTTCAACAGAATTTAGTTCTATAAAATATTATTTAAGTAACAATCAATATGATTTGGAGACATCAATCTCACCAAATAATTATAATTTCATAACGCATTTGGTGTATAAACTGATAAAAAAGGTAAAGTGGTAATAATTCATGTTGTTTGTATTTGTTTTACCTGTTTTGGTGCTGATCTGAAGGGTCTAAGAATTAAGCTTTTTCCTCCGACTAAGGCACTCTTGACAACAAGCAATAAAATTTGTAGCAACTTCTTGGAAGACATAACAAGAATTTCAGTGGCTAGTTCTGAGGTTTTTTTCCAGTAGTTTACATAAACTGGTAATGGCGGTAATCTGTCTGACCATATCCCATTTCTATTCCACTTGGCTTGGGACTCTGCTGAAAGTAATGCTGGCGCCAGTTTTGATTCGAGTGTGTTCTTCTTAATATTTTTGGGCAGTGAAGTTTGTGCGAAGCCAAGTTCTACCAATTTTTTTCCGACATCAAATGTTTCTTCTGTTTTTGTCTAAAAAAACATTTTCATATGGATATCATACTGTGATATATCTTAATAAAATATACATTAGTTTTAGTATTATTGAATCCATATGAGAGCTTTTATTTCACATTACAAATTTCTTAAATACAAGCTCAAGAAATTATTGTTTGATATTTTAAGAGTAAGTAAATAACTTTTACAACAAAATACTATTGCCATTACATAAAATTACCTTATTTCCAGGTAAATGCAAAATAACAGTGGAAACAAGATCTTCTTTATCTCTTCCAATGGGTTTTAATGTAACTTTTTGCCCTTTGGCAACACAGTCCAACCAATTTACAGCATTGCCACTCACTATGTCCACTCCCCATAGCTGAAATATAGGCATGATTTATGTATAATACTTTTGGTGTGTAAATAACTAAGTAAAACTGTTATTTTAAATGTTTCTTGTATCACCTTAACAGGCAGTGGAGGTTTGCTGGAATGCCATAGTGGAAGGTAAATAGGTGCCCTATGATTTATTAAAAGCCGTACTGGTGAGTGCTGAACACCAACATATGTTCCTTTCAAAGATTCATGTCTCTTGATAAAGTGGTTAGGAACTTTAGAAGCCTTTGAAAACTTGCTTATCTAAAACACAAAAAATAACAGTACATGTTGTCATTCTATATTATGTAATAATAATATATATACTAACCGGACGGATTTTGTGTACGGATAGTGCCAGACCAGCAGTAGCGAGAGCATAAACGGCTATCTGAAAGCCACAATATCTATATTAAAAGTATCCCAAAACGTAACGATACTTTGACCTTTTCAACGTACATTTACTCCACGATGATCCTGTTGCAGAAGACTCTCTAAGTTATAGAATATCCCACCGTCTTTTTCAGTCATTTTTGTTATCTAACAAATAAGCAATCTTTCATAATAATTCGCTATCTTAGTTCATCGGTATTTTCAGATGTATAATTTTTTTTCCATTTGCGAGAACTGACATTGACATATAATATTGTTTTTGTTAGTCATATGAGCTGAACTGTCTCAATTTATTTTTTTATTATTATTGTTGCAAATATATTGCATATTACTCACTGATGATATTTAAGTTTGAAATTGTAATGGTTATATTTTTTCATGACCTTGGTATTTTTACATAAATAAATAAAAACCAATAAAATGCAAAAAATAATAATTAGTACGTTTATACTAAGAGCTGTAAATATTAGCAATCGATTTCATGTTAGACAAAATTCTCTCATCAATTAATGTTGTGCACTTTCATCGCCTCAGCATAGTTTAAAATGTGAAGTTATATTATCATTTAGCTATGCATTCGTGTCTCTTATACAATAATATTTTATATTCAACAGATTTTGTTATCCATTTATACAGACCTTATCTAATATTAACGTTTTATAACACATACTTTATAAAATAAAAATATTGACCGTTGAATATGTAATACTCGGAAACAGATTACAGCAACATTGATTCCACGTCAACTTATTTGACATGATATTGTAGTCAATGCTAACCAAAAACCTAATATAAATTGGAGAATTCAGTGTTTTTGTAATATTTAAAAAAGTACTTATAAAATGATTAGTGTTTTAAATACTATTGACACCGGCCATGAAGACATGATACACGATGCAGAGTTGGATTACTATGGACTTAGATTAGCGACATGTTCTTCGGATAACTCTGTTAAAATTTACGACATCAAAAGCGGTACACAAACTCTTGCCGCAGACTTAAAGGGACACTTTGGACCGGTATGGCAGGTTGCTTGGGCCCATCCAAAATTTGGTAATCTACTGGCTTCTTGCTCATATGACAGAAAAGTGATAATATGGAAAGAATCCGGAGAATGGACCAAGCTATACGAATATTCCGGTCATGAAAGTTCTGTGAATTCAGTAGCGTGGGCGCCGGAAGAATACGGGTTAATACTGGCATGTTGTAGTTCAGATGGGTCAATTTCTACCATCACTTACAATCAAGATGGAGGAAATTGGGATGTTAAAAAGATTCCTGGTGCCCATGCCATTGGAGTTAATTCCATCAGTTGGTGTCCAGCAATATCTGCCGATCTGCATTTAGATCCCCTTACCAACAAAGATGCACCCAAAAGGATAGTGTCTGGTGGATGTGACAACTTAATTAAGGTATTTTTAATAATGTTTTTGTAATATTCAAAAATAGAGTAACATACAAAGGACATGTAATATTTTGTTATATTTATATTTTTTAGATTTGGAAGGAGCAAGGAGATCAATGGATTGAAGAGAACCGTTTGGAAATGCATATGGATTGGGTGCGGGATGTCGCCTGGGCTCCATCCCTTGGGTTACAACGTTCTATGATAGCCAGTTGCTCTCAGGATAAAAGAGTTGTTATATGGTCTAGTGACGATAATGTGTCTTGGAGTCCAACTATTCTCAATACATTTGACGATGTCATTTGGAGTGTCAGTTGGTCTTTAACAGGTAATATTCTAGCGGTATCCGGAGGAGACAATAAAGTCAGTCTTTGGAGGGAAAATGCCGATGGACAGTGGTTATGTATAAGCGAAGTAGCGAAAGGCTTGGGTCAAGCACCCAATGAGGAGAGGAGCACACTTTGATAATGCCGAATTCGTTAATTCCTTTTATGTTTAATGTATTATAGTTAATATTAATAAAGTTTTGTGTTTCATTAATGGCTTCTGTTATAAATGCATTCTATTTTGTTTATTATGTTTATATATTACAATGTATAAATTAAAATCAAAAATAAACAAACTTGATGTTTATTTCTCAATTAGTTTATAATGTTTGAAACAAGCACAATTTTATGAAAATAATCTTAAAGTAAAAACAAAAGTCACTGATTGCATTCAAATAATTTATTAATTAACTGTTTTCTAACTCATTTTAATTCTGAATAACAGTTTTGTAACTTCTAATTTGATTTTTTTATAATTTGACTAAATAATAAATATATACTAAATTTATATATGTAACTGTATATTGTTCACACAAGATTGAATCATATGATTATTATTAAAGGCAATATGCCATTGATTCACTCAGGCTATTTTAATTTATCTAAAATGTTTTTCAATTAAAATTCAAGTTTTAACAAATCTGAAAGTGGTGGCTCTTTGAAATATAATACATAAGCATAGTTTTTCAGTTGAATATAACCTGGTCACATATATATCATGAATCAAGTTGTTTTGTAAAAGAATAATTAAAACTCAGTGAAATATTGCAGAAAAAGTGAGATAAACACTAAAATGTGTTTTCTCTCATGTAACCTAAGGGATTGGGGATTTTGAATAAATTTTTACTTATTGATCATTTCCCATAATAATACATTACTGAGGTCATTCAAAACAAGTATGGGTTATAGATCTTCCACACTTTTTCTACTTTTTTTAGAAAGCTCCTTAACCTTTAATTAGGCTGTTGTTATACCTTGACTGTAATGAAGATCTCATTTTAAATGCTTAAGAAGAATATTTATACTAAGGAATAGAGAAAATTGTTTGTGAACAATAGATTTGATAATGCGTACTTAGAACATAAATGGTGATATGCAGATTATTGTTCCGGCCGTCGACTCTACAAATACAATCATTTCTTTTCACAATTAAATTGTTGAGCCAGAGCAATAGAAGGAAGGGATGGATGGTTTGTATGAAATAAAGGTTAAAAGTGTTATTTAATTTAAATACATATGAACTGGAATATTTTTCACATAAAATCTTCATTATTATATTATATAAATTTCATATGATGGATAAAATAAAAAAAAATAACAAACAAAAAATACAAACACGCATATAAAGATTATTCCACATCGCATTCAGGAAAGTGTCAATAAATAAGACATTTAATAACAAAAAGTTTAATTATGATTCTTAATTACATGTTATTTAAATTATATTCTATGAGTTCCATTAATAAGGGCATTTTATAATACTCGGCTATAGTCTTGTAGGTCATGAGCTGTGTTCTTATTTCTTTGAGGGACACCATTGTTGTGAATTCACCAGCACACTCGCACACTGTTGATAGATTCTCACGCTTTACCTGTACAATAATATGTAGAAATTAATTATTTAAATTTTAATATAGCTAAAATATTTGTTTTAAGTACAAATCTTCAATTGTCAAACTTTTATTCAGATTATAATGCATTAAGAAGCTTCTATAATAAGCATTATTATTAGTTTAACACTTCTGATAGTAATTTTATAGTAACCTGATGACATCTGGTACATATCAGATCTTGTAAGGTGTAGCTCATAGCTCTTCTGTTCATAGTTTCAATGAGTTTCCATTCCAACTCCTGGTTATCATATGCTGTACCACAAGTTGGACACAAACATACTGGCCTGTCGAACATATTAAATGTAATGAGTCTACATATAAATATATTTATATGTGTATGTGTGTGTGTTATCCACTGATGTTATTTAAAAGTTATTTAAAAGCAAGTCATCAAAATTACTAATTGATAATGGTAATTATTTTTTGTTTTTCAAATATCATTCTATGTTACTCTTAAACAGATTTGTTTGTTTGATACAGGAAAAGTAAATGATAGATTTCTATTGTAGCTTTTAGGTTAAAACTTAAGAATCTATATTATTCAATATCTTTAAGTCTTAAGGCTAGCTACTAACCAGCAAGTAAACGTAATTCAGACACAAACAAATATTATTATTTCAAGAGTTATACTGAATATTATTACTTCCAACATTCATACTAGTCCTTAATTTTATAATATGTTGTACTTGTTCGTAGTACGTACTGTTCGTGATCGTGTCGCTGCCTACTGAACATTATCACTAACAATAATATATAAGCTTGTATTTCATTATAATATGTTGTATTTGTTCGTAGTACGTACTGATCATGATCGTGTCGCTGCGTGCGACACAGGTCCAGGTCCTGGCAGTGGTTGCACACCCGACAGCTGAGTTCAGCCAACACACACGAGGCGCACGGCTCGCGGTACTCGGACAGAGGACTGAACTCACCCACTGATAATAAGCGGAGGAGGTTACGGCGGAGGAGAGTCACCTGGAATGGAATATATACAAAAGATAAGATACAGAAATATAGAGAATATACAAAAAACATTTACATGTCCTACCGGGACTTTGTTAGTATGGGAAATTAAAAAAAAATCTTATTAGTTTTATTAACCATTTTGTATTACAGATTTTTCTAATTACTTGAAGATTTAGGTATACATTATTTTCATTCAAAACAGATAATTAATGAGTTATAAAAGTGGTAATGATAAAATTATAAAACGAATTAATGTTTTCTAGGTGTATGATAATAATTTTTTGCACATTTTCTGTTTGAATATCAATAATTAAGATTCATCAAAGAATATTGCTTTTAACAATAGTGGTTCTTGAAAAGGTTTTTAACACCATATAAACATATGTACAAGTCTTATACATATACTGTACACCAGTGGTGGCTGTACCTCAAGTGCACTCGTGCGCTGAACCACCAATTCAAAAGATTTAAAAATTACAAAATATTACTTCATCTTTATTTTTAAATTACCATTTTAATATTTATTTTCTAAACATACAAAAACGTATAAAAAATTAAATTTCCAATTATGGTCAAAAAGGTTCACCGCTTTACTAAACAAATATCTCGTGCGCTTCGGCGAGTGCACAAGGACTGCTAATACATCTTGTATGAGAAACGAGTTAATACGCCTGACGCGCGAAACAAAAGATAGTTCATAGAAATGTACCGAGTAATGAGTCGGTTTTCGAGCGCTGCACGAGCGGCCGAAGATTACCCAGAGCACCCGATGTATGACGAATTGGAATTGAAAAGAATCAAAACATTTCTCCAAAATACCAGGCACTTGCTAAATGCATTTTCTGTGCTTAGTATTGAAAAAAATAATTATACAAACTATACCCGATTTTAATAAAAAGGTGTATGAACATTTCGTTTCAGAATAATAAACATATTTATAGTCAATTGTTGTTTTGTTGCATTTTCTAATTTTAATATTTTAGTAAAGTGCACCACCAGTTCGATAATCCACCAGCCGCCACTGCTGTACACGATATTATATGTATACCTCTTCCTCCAAGTTCGCATCAAGTCCCAGTACATGACAGAGCGCGTTAACGAACAGCAGCGCGGGTGTGGCTCCCTCTAGCGACTCCTCGCGGAGTCCCGCCTGAGGACCGATGTCTTCCAGGCTCAGAGTTGGCATACGACGATTTATTTTCTCCGCTAACCTACATACATCATTATTTATTTATTTATTTATTTATTTAAATATTAAATATTAGTGTATGAGACACATCATTTGATAGTAATAAGTCTTAATTAAAGTATGTGATTACATCAAACAAAGTATTAAACATAAAGAATAAATGGAACCTTTTTTTTTTAAATTATTGAATACAAAGTTATACAAAAAGTGTCTTAAACTACCAATTCTGAATAGTTATTGACACGAACCACAAGTAGAAGCGACCATTTAGATGCTTCAACACTGTTATAGATTTCAATCTGAATTCAATTGAGCAAAATAAGATGATATATGAGAGGAATAAAAAGATATTTATTCTCACTGGAAGAATTTCTGCGTCATTTCCCCGGCCAGCATCGCTTTGAGTCTCCCGGGGTCGGCGTGTGCCGCGGACAGGAAGCCCGCCACGCACGAAACAAACGCCTCGCGGGTGATGCCCGGCATGAAGCGGGATATGTTCCACTCCATGGTTATCTCACCCTGAACAATTACATTATGTAGACATTTAACTGGCTTTTTCCGTTACATTTTTATGAGTGTTAATTATTCTTTCACATTCATTAAAACTTTAATTTTAATTGAAAAAAAAATTGTTAAATTAAAATAGCCTGAGTGAATGAATGCATATTGCCATTAATAATAATTATATATATTTTCATACACATAAGACAGACTGTATTGATTTCTGATATATGATGATAGAAAACATACATTTTTGAAGTGAAACTTCTTATGCAACTTTCAACAAGGTTGCGTTAAACGTTTAACGCTCCAGAGAGGTAAAAAGAGACAGAACGAGAGGTATTGCGGGCAATCAATTGTGTCTTGTAAGTGATTTTAATAAAGTCTGTCTTAAAGACACATTAAAAGTTAACTAAAACTCAATTTCTAATCCTTCCTGTATTCTTTTAAACATTCTGTCGAATAGTACCCACAGTCATTATTATTCTTAATCTCTCAACCTTTCATTGCTATCAACAACTCTTTAGGTGGGCAACTTATAAGCATAATTATAATATTATTTATAAAAAACTTAATATATATAATAAACAAATCGCTCACTTCTTCCTCCACATCCGCGTTATCAGGTATCTGAGACGATCCCACTTCCTCCAGACCAGCTGGCAGCTTGCCCTACAAACAAATATACTGTTAACAAACAACAAAATAATATTCTCATAATTTTCACATATAATTAATAAGTAAATATGTATATCGCGTTTGATACATGAATCAGCTGCCAACCATGCTCGTGGAAAAAAATTAAGTCTATTGAATTTTAACATAATTAATTGTTATAGAAGTTGTATTTATTTTTTATCATAAAATTTA